CCCCAAAACCCCAAAACCCCAAAACCCCGCTCTTGACTCTTTATATTGAATGTTACGCTACTAAAATATTAGAATGCCAAGGATTAAGGGAAGGAAACCTAAGAAAAAGCCTATAAATTCAGAGCTCATATCTCTTGCAGATGAGAATAACTGTGAAAGGATGCCCACCAGAGATATCACCCATAAATTTTTAGAAGAGTTAAGAGATCTTTCAAGTAAGGAAGCCAAGAAATGAAAAGATATTTTGACATGTTATGTGTGAGCAAAACTCCCCAAAGTGTTTGGAAGTCCAAATAGTTGACTTCATTATTTATGCAAAGAGTGCATTGATAATTTCTCTAAAGAAGGAAAAGAAGTATCTTGACCTACATGAAGACAAAGTATAAAATAACAGAAGATATTGGAGATATAAAGAAAAGTTGTAAGTTTATTTAAATTTGATTATTTCTTAATAAAGATCTATCGCATCTGATTACCCATTCTTTTTAGCAAACCATTTTTGAAAATTCTCCAGGAAATTTTAAGTCCTCTCGAAAATGATAAGGAGGAAGACTCTTTTTCTGAAATGAAGCCAGCAAATCTCCAAGAACAAATATCTAAATTGACAAGAGAAATTAAAAATTGTGGAGCAGATCCATCGAAAAGGGAGCAAAGGAACAAAAAGAAGAAGGAGTTAGTGGAATTAATTCAAATGAGGGATAGCGAACATCAGAAGACTACTGTAGAAAGAATGAAAAAGGATCAACAGACAAGGGCTGGAGATCATAATGAAAAATAGCATAAACAGCACAAACTTCATTTATACGAAAAACTATTACTCCTTCCATCTGTGGCATGACGATTACCAGCATCAAAATGAGGTAGAGTGCCACCCTAAGCTTCATATGATCGGTAAATAAGTCGAAGGTACAGATAAAGCATATTTGAATGTTTCTTGCATTCCGTCATAAAATGGATATAAACAACTACAGGCAATTTCAGGTTGCTTTGATGGGAGGAATTGATAGTGAAATGAACTGAATCCGGATACCTCTTGATAACCCTCATTCATACCTCCCAGAGATCCTAGCATCACACAATTATCAGCAGAACTGTGAGATTCACTTAGTGTACAAACTGACTTTAGATTAAAGTAATAAAATTATGTCCTAAATTCTTTAATAGACCTCTGACTGGTGTCTGACTTGTTAGTGCTCACTGACCTATCTGTCTTCGGGGCTTTGGTTTTCCTTGTGAGTTTTTTGTGTTTGGGTTTGTCTAAAAGGGATTTGCAAGAGGGCAGTTTTGCAAAGGCTTTTTTTAGTTTGGAGTTGTGGGAGTACAGGCTGTTTTTGGAACATTTGCAGCACAGAGTTTGGAGGTTCTCGATTTTGTGCACCCACCGGAGGCAGGATGGGCATCTAGAGATCTGTTGTTCGGCGACATGTAGTGCTGAGTGGTAGATTTGTAGTTGGGATTTTTGGAATTTTTTGTTTTTGATTTTGAGGAATTTTGGATCAAATGGGAGATTGAGAACGGAGGCAAGATCGTAAATTTTTTTGTTTCAAGATTTGCAAGTTTTAGCCTTTTCTGAAGATGAAAGAGTGGCGCATTTGAGACAAAAAGTGATGGTTTTATGCTCTATTTTTGCTTGTTGGGCTAAAGCCAATATGTCTCTAACCTTGGTTTTAATGTGCTGGACTATTTCTCTTTTATGCGCACTGATGATAGATTTGTCTCAACCAATCACAATTCATTTCATCAATCCATAATTGTGAGGGTCATTAATCTTTGGGTGTTTGCTAATGCAGTTCACATGAAAGGAATGCTGCCCATTGAGACAGCTAACTATTCCTTTGGTAATTGGCTTCTCACATGTCATACAGAAAATAGTTTTGGGTCTAGAGGATCTACTGTATCAGGAGCTGTTGTCACTTCTTGAGGGTCTTGATGTATACGATCTTTCTGTAAGTTGGAGTTTAATCTCGGTATTTCTGAATTTTGAAACATTAGAAACACTTGTATGGTCATCACTTCTACTAAACACACTGGTTCTCGGTTGGGAAATACGCTTTGGAATTTTTCTGTTGACTTCTCTTCCAACTTCGGATCTACTTGATCTTGTGTTTGACTTCTTAGACCTTCTTGAATACTTTGTAGATTTGGATATATTTCTTTTGAGTTTTGGAGTTTGTATAATGTCTGTCCTACTGCTGAATACTTTGTGAGTAACTTTCTCTTCAAGAATCTGATCAATTGTTTTCTTGGCTTTGTAGCTAGCTTCTTTAGTTTCCCTTTTCTTCTCATTAAAAAAAGGCTTTTCGTCACTAGCTTTTGACTTTTCTTTACAAACTAGATGAGTTGGATGAATAAGATGCTCCAGCAAAATATTAGAGTACATTATGGCTTTCTTCCTCTTATTAAGTTTAAGCTTGCTTGAAAGTCCTCAAATCTTGTTTATCCTGGTGATGATTCTGTTATGAGATCGTAGTTTTTTTCCAAGCATTACTCCTGCTACGAAAACTTCCATCGATGAGTTTTGGTTTGATGGAAGTTTATCTATAGACTCTTTCATGATTTGCTTCATTTTGTCCACTGAGCACAATTCCATTGGCTGCTTTTAATCACAATATTTATGACTGATATTCCACAATAGGACAAGATATGGGGTTTTGGGGTTTTGGGGTTTTGGGG